CGACAACCGTACACTTGCGGTTTTCCATACAACAGTTATATGGTATGAAACATGAACATTGCATATAGAATTGAGTGAATTTGAATTTGCATTGAATCTAAACTTGGTATCCTATATACAACTATAAATCAATATACTTCTTCAGGAAGCTTTAGAAAATTTTTTCCAAACCAAGAAAACTGAGTAAAAAAATTTTAAACAACCAATTCACTCCCCCTCTCTTGGTTAAGCCATCTTTTCTAACAATTGGTATCTAGAGCAAGGTTCTTGAAAATTAATCATAAGATTTTAAAAATGGCAAGTAATAATCTTCCATATGGTAAGGTAGTATCAATACATAGACATTCGATTTTCAATAGTGAAAATTATGTGTACTGGAAAATTAGAATGAAAATTTTCATTGAAGCAATCGATATAGCTATATGGGATGCTATAGAGAATGGTCCATACATTCCTATGAGTGAACAAAAAGGTGAGAAGAGATAAAAACATTGGAGTGAGCAGAGCGATGATGAAAAGAGAATAGCAAAATATGATGCTAAGTTTGAAGCCCCTCATGAAGATCTTTATGAAGATTAAAGAAAAAGTTTTAGCTTTGATGTAGCTATAGATTTATCTTTGTTTAGCTTTGATTTAGTTTGCTTCATTTTGTATTGTATGGCTTATGTGAAAAGGATATTTTATTAATTATTAATTAGACTTAGGCTTGAATGTATTTACATGTCATGATTGATTAATTGTTAAGAATACATCTTGTTTAACTAAACATAAAACTCAATGTTTCTCATTTCATGTGAAAACATGATGTAATAGATTATCAAGTGTTGGTAATAGATTACAAAGTGTTTTGACATAATATGAAACTTGGTTCATTCAAAAGAATTCAAGATTATTAAGTCAAGTAATAAATTACCATTTCAGGTAATATATTACTGAAACTTAGTTTTGAAGGGGAATTCAAAGTCGTCTTTGTTATAATAGATTACCAATTGAAGTAATAGATTACCGTGGTGACTTCTGAGTGAAAAAAAGTGAAACATGTTGAAAAAGCATCGAGTTAATCGATTACCCATATCAGTAATCGATTACCTCTGCTCAAAATTGAGCTTTATGGTTCTTGCAACACGTGTTAATCGATTACCAAGATCACTAATCGATTACCATAGTGTTTTACTCAATCTGATTTTAGTTTCATTAAAGACTGGTAATAAATTACCTGCTATGGTAATAAATTACTATTGTTACGACTTTTTAGTGCTGAAATCTTTCTTTCTCTATAAATATAACTCTTTTCATAAACTTAAAAGATGGATGACACATATGATTAGAGAAAATCAAAGAAAGGAAAAAGAAAAATATTTTATAATTTGAAAAACATTTTAAGTGAAAATCAAATCAAAATTTTTAGAAGAATCTTAAGAGCAAGTTTGAAAAGCAAGAAATATGTCTTCTTGAAAATAAATTCAATAACTTCAAAGATTATTGTGCTAATCTTTGTGGAAGATCACTTTACACATTAGGTGTAGCAATTCTATCTTTAAACTTTGTTTTTTTATTGCTAGGTGTGTGACTCTTTAAGATAGGGTGTCTCAAGAAAGAGTTAAGAGAAATTTTGGGATAGGTTTTTCTCAAGTGGATTCTTGAGGTGCAAGAATTCCGTGTTTGTGTAACCTTGTGGGATCAAGATTATGTGATTTAGATTCTGATTATAATATTGCTTGTAAATGGTGTTTGTAAAGGATATTATAGTGGAATGATTAGATTTAGTAGAGAGTTAAGTCTGAAACTGGATGTAGGCCTTTGTATGACTGATCCAGTATATATCACTATGCAAATTTTCTCTTAACCTTTATACCTTGTTATAATTCATGTTGAATTGATAAAAAGAAATTTTAAGAAGTTACCAATTGCTGATTTGGCAAAATCTATGTATGTTATATGCAATTTGGTAATAAAGAAATAAGGTAATTACTAAAATCAATTTGGATTACAATATTTGTTTTGCTATGTATTAAATATGATAAATTGTATTTTTGATTGAATTAGTAATCTGAATGTGATTTACTAAAATTGGTCTAAGAAAGAAAGAAATTGTTTGGAAGACCATTAGAAGTCGTCTAAGCGAAGAATCTATTCAACCCCATTTCTAGATTCGTGTTCCACCCGAGATCAACAATTGGTACAAGAGTTGAAATTTGTTAATTACTCAAGTTAGATCCTTAGAACCCTTAGAATGGCTAGTAATCAATTACCTTTTGCTAAAGGTGCCTCTATAAACAGACCTCCTCTATTTTGTGGTGATAACTATCCTTTCTGGAAAGTAAAAATAAAAATATTTATGAAATCTGTTCATAGAAGTATTTGGCAAGCTGTAATTACTGACTACAAAATTCCTACAGTAAACATAGAAGGGAAAATTATTGAGAAACCTTTTAATAGCTGGAAAATGAGTGAAATTAGGAGAATTGAAAATGATGCTAAAACTTTAAATATTATACATTCAGTATTAAATTCTGATGATTTTTTTAGAATTTCAACTTGTACTATAGCTAAGGAAGCATTGGGACTTGATACAAGTTACTCATGAAGGAACTCCAGAAGTTAGGCGTGCAAGAAAGAATACACTCATCCAAGAATATGACACATTTAGAATGACTCAAGGAGAAACCACCATGGACTTGCAAAAAAGGTTCACTCACATAATAAATCACATAAAAGGACTAGGAAAGATCTTTGATGAAGACGAGGTTAATGTGAAAGTTCTAAAGTCACTTAATAGGAGATGGCAACCTACTGTGACAACCATTATCAAATCCAAAAACTTAGCTAAAATGAAAAGTGTTGAGTTATTTGGAAACCTAAGAGAGTATGAAATGGATATGACTAGAATGGCTGAGGAAGAGCAAAATGACAAGAAAGTTAAAGGTCTAGCTTTGAACATAGAAAACTCCTCAAGTCAAGAAGAATGCAGTAGCAAGGAAGAAGAATCTAAAAAAGAAGAGCTGAACTTAATGGTAAGAAAATTTTGGAGAATTATGAAGAAGAACTTCAAAAACAAACCATCAAGTCAGAAGAAATTCTTCAAGAAAAATGACAATTCCTCTCCAAAGTTTAAATGTTTTGAGTGTGGGAAAGCTGGTCAAATAAAGGCTGATTGTCCCAACTTAAGAACGCAAGGAAATGAGGAAAATAAATCTAAATTTAGATCCAAGAAGAAGAAAGCTTATATAGCTTGGGAGGATAATGCTTCTATAACCTCTAGCAATAATGAACAAGATTATGAGGTAAATCTTTGTCTCATGACTAGATATGCACTACTACATACTGCATTATCTACATCGATTCTGCAAAGTCATCTATATCGGTTCTAAAATCGATATAGAATAGAATGACTTAGAAAATGTATACAGTTCTACATTGATTTCAGAACTGATGTAGATTTGTGCAAATTCTACGTTGATTTTCTGAAGAACTGATGTAGATTCATACACAAATCTACATCGGTTTCTTGAGAACCGATGTAGATTTGTGCATAAATTTACATCAGGTATTTTGAAAACAAATGTAGATTGAATTTTTTTAAAAGAAAAATCATGCTTATTTTTAAATTCTTTCTGATTACCTGTAATGAATATATATATATAAATCTGATATATATTTTTCATCTATATAATGGACAAATATTATGCATCAAAATTAACTTGGCCACCACAAAAGTATGAAAGGAAATGATTGTTATGCATTACAGTAAGGTTATCTGTTAAACTTAATTTGTTAATAATCATGTGTGAGACATTAGATCCTCCGGGAATTGCTTGATCCAAAATTAAATTCCCATCTAGACTTGAAGCCAAAAAAATAAAAAATAAATTGTGACAGGGCTACATTTTCCTCTGTACAAACTAGATTGTCGTACTTGCTCATTTACAAGGGGAGGATTCAAAGTGAAATATTGCTAATGCTATGTATACATGTGCCCTATATTATAACTTTGTTAATCTAATCACAAATATTCTTTATAATTTAACCCTCACTTTATTTATGAGCAACAAATATTGTTAATCCAAAATTTTATTTTCCATCAAAAGTCTAATAACATTAAAAATTGAGTTTTTAAGAAGAGAAGTATCATGCTCTACATGCTTCCTGTCAAATCCGGTTTATCTGTTTATGTCATAATGTAAACACAAAACACACCAATAATAAAATTATTGCAATATTATGAAAAAACAATAACACAATAGACTGGTTAAGGATTTCCTATGTATTGCACTGTAGAAAGTAAATTTACGTACCAATTTTGCCCATAATTCCCTTTTAATGGAAATATGGAATTAATATCAATGACGGACATACTTACGGTTAGCCAATTATTTTATTAAGAGAAATTAGTTTATCTGCTTGCAATAAAAAGACCAAAAAGATACATTAATGTATCAACTTCAAATATGAAAGATGTAGACTTAAGTCAGAACCTGTTTCCTAGAAATTTTCTTGACGAAAACCCTGTGATAAAAAAACTAAAAGAATGCACATTTATTATTTTTTATCTATGAATACATAAATTAATTGAAAATATATTATTTTAACTTGATCGGTAATTTCAAATTTATATCATGACTTTATAATCGTGAAACATTTATGTGAATCATTAACATACAAATGGGATATCATTACTAGAATTTCTCTTATTACATGCAATTTTTCCTGCGAATTTTTCATAAAAATTCTCAAGAAACGTTGTTCCTACAAATTTTTCTGTGAAATTTTATCTCTAGGTAATACCTTCGTGGATAATTTGTTTCTGCGAATTTTAAAATCCATAAAAAAATTTCCTACGAAAAAAATTACCAGGAAATTCTTCTGCGAAAAAAATTCGCAGGAAAGTTTCCTGTGAAATTTCCTGAGAATTTTTTTGCAAAAAAAAAAATCAAAGAAATTACTATTCAGAGGTAATTTTTGTACAATTTCTATTAATAATTCTTCAACTTTCAAATGCTTACAATGAATTCATCTGAAGCATGTAAATTATAGGTCTAACACTCAACTATACAAAATCAACTTGTAAGGTGAGTGTTACTCTTTAATTGTTTTATTTCTAATCGATATGGGACTTAAGGTAAGTCTTTTAATACTTAAACTTATAAATTTATATAATTTTTTATTAACAACCATATCATGGTCCATGTATCTTATTCAACCTCCCATTCCATCTCTTGCATTAATTAAAGCATTGTCTTCAACATTGAGTTTAACAAAGCCTGGATATAGAGGAGTCCAAACTCCAAACCACCCATCTTATCTATTGGTTCTAGCTAGCTAATTAGGACATGGTTATTAGGTATTTTATAATAAAATAGGATGATTTGTCTTTAGATGTCTTAGTTAATTTTGTAGGTGAAAGAAGATACTAAAAGAAGAAAAATGTGGATAAAAAAAAGGTTGCCACCAAACAAACGAAAGCTAACCATAGATGAAATTTAACACAAGATAGCCTTTCTATAATCTACTATGAGGACTACAGAGTTACACTAAAACAAGATCAATTTTAAAAGAATGTCAAAATGCAGGGTAAATAAACTTCTTTTCAGGAACCTCTGGGCTTTAATTAGGAGGAATCCTAGAGACTCAAAATCCATGTGACAATTCTACCTAGTAGACAACCCAATATAAGAAGTTTATTTTCCCATCTACCATTTACACTCTTCCTTTTCTTCTGACTTAGGATTAGAAATCTGAAATGAAATTACACACTTGTCTCTCCTTCAATACCATGTATTTTCTATTTCTATCACCTCACTCATAGCATTTTCCTCACTCACCTTATCATATTTTCCCACAACACTGCACATTTTTGTGTCTCTAGAAACAGACATGATCCTACTACCAGAACCATCTCTTGTAGTGGAACTAGGCCACTCTAAATTGAATTTTATCCAACATGAGCAAGAAAACTTGCACCTTTAAATTGACCACCAATATAGTTGCATATAACTTGTTGAATTAACTATCCAACTTGAAATAGCAAGCAACACAGGGTTTCATAATAACATGATGATTTTGGGATTAATCTAACTAATTAACCCCTTAACTATTAGGAATTTCAATATGAACTGAAAAGGGGAGTATTACATAAAGAAAAATAGGAAAAGATGAGCATAAAGGGAGAAACACAAGTCAAATACTATATTGCTAAAAGAAAGCATGGTATGTTACTAATACTATACTTGATGCAGCTTGAAGAAGTAGAAGGAAAATAGCTGTAAAAAAGCAAGTTGACTATGCAGTACCACAAGAAGTGGGCAAGGATAATCAGCTACAAATTACACCACCAACTACATTATCAACAAAGGATGTAGCTTCAGCAAAAAAATCAAAATCAAACCTAAATTAGAAGTGAATTACTTTACTTGGCTTCATCAGAATGTTGCGACAAAGCGAAACAAACCCTAATCAAAGATTCAAGCTCCGTGTAGTGACTTCAATTTGATCGTTCGTGAGTTGTACACAGGCTTAATTCATAATTTCAAAAGATAGAATCCAAAAAGAAAACAACGAGATTTTGGAAGCTCTAGTAGAATCATAGATTAGAATTCTAAAGTTCAAAACCGAAAGAGAACAACGATGATGCTTACAATTAGTATCCGGAAAGAAAACAATGAGGTTTCAAGGTTGCATCCAAAGTTGGCATGCACTTTCTTTGTATATCAACAATGATGCTTCGAGAGTCAAGGGTTCTTTGGGGGGAAAGGGCTCGCACATGCAGGTGAGCAAACAAATGCTTTTAATATTACATCAGTCACTAAGTGAACTGATGTAGATCTCTTTACATTTTAGGGTTATTTACAAAAATGGTACCGCATTTTGAATACTACATCGATCCCACTCAACAGAACATTGAATATTTACATCGATCCCATGCAAAACTGATGTAATATGCTTTATATTATACTTTTAATTACAAAAATACCACCGCATTTGATTTCTACGTCATTTTTACTACAATGGATGTAGAATTGGAGACGTGGAACAATAACTTTCTAGTAGTGATGATTCAGATTATGAGGTAAGTGATTCAAACTCATCCACTTGTTCATACAATCAAATACAAGATACATTTTTTGAACTATATACTGAAGCAAAGAAAATAGGAAATCTGAATAAAATCTATAAAGGCAAAATAAGAGAATTAGAATTGAAAATGTCTTTTCTAGAAAAAGAAAATGAGACTTTAGAAACTGAAATTAGTACGTTGAAATTGCCTTGTATAGACTGCATCCAAAAACTTGTATTATGCATTAAAATCAAAAGAAAACAAAAGAGCTGAATGGAAAAATAATTATAGCAAATCCATGATTCCACATTTTTCATGTAACTATTGTATGAAACCTGGACACAATTATTCTAGATGCATGATTAGGAAATATAGTGTTCCTAGTGGAAGTTTTAGATGGATTAAAAAGTTTGAGTATGTACACACTAACTCTAAAGGACCCAAGTTCTTTTGGGTACCAAAATAAAGTTAATTTCTTAATTATAGGTGTGCTTGAGAGCCAAGTAAACAATGTGATATCTAGACAATGGTTGCTCAAGCATATGACAAGGGATAAAAGCAAGTTTATCACCCTACAAGAAAGAGAAAGTGGTACAGTAACCTATTGTCGCAACCCAAAAATTTCCGATCTCGCGACTAATGGTTTAGACATCCTTTTAAAGATCTCATCAATTAAGGAATGCCCGGACACCAGACTAATCCTTAATTAATGGTTTTGAAAATAAGTTATATGGAGAAGCAAAAAATATTTTAATACAAACATTGGAAAAAGAAAAGGATTTTTAAAAGTCCAATAATGGTCTTGATAACCAGAATCGGGTTCGGGGGTCGGTTATGTGTAGGAAGACATTAAGCACCCCTACAATGCCCTAAATCGGTACCCTACGATGAAGATAACATAATAAGAATTAATAATTAAAATATTTAATCTCCTTTATTAATAATTATTTACATGCTTGAAATTTAAATTATACAATTAATCCTAAAATGTTTACATGATTATTTTTATTATAAATAATATTTATTAAAAATAAGAAATAAAAGAGAGAGAAGAAAATTAGCTGAAATACCTCTTGAACGAGCTCTATTAATCTTCAAAGATGGAGATTTGGGTGCTTTTTGGCAACCCTTCACACTACAATGCCTCACAAAAATCTCAAGAAATACACAGAGAGGGGGAGAGAGAAAAAGAGAGAAATTTCCTGCTCTATGGAGCTTTGAACGAAATTT